TCTTGTTCCTTTTATTCAAAACTGTACCTTCAGATTTATATCAAATTTCGAAGGTCTATTAGCTTTAAAAATCACAAACAACCTTTAACATTCAAATAACCCAAACTTAAACTAACTAAGATGATAACTGTTGTATGAACAGTTTATTTCATAACACCTGTTAATTTATCTTAATTTATAATCATATGTTTACTTGTTATTGCTTGTTTAAAAGGTAGATACCTAGTTGTTTTGGATTTGGACTAAGTTTACTAACGTGTTAACTTTTTTACTTTTAAAATGAACTCGAAAATGAAAAAAAAAATTAAGTTTTGTTCACTATCTGGTTGGGTGGTTAGCAATTGAATTGAAAACTAATAGAGAAAAAAACTTGATCATTAATTTAATTTTGAAGGCAATTTCTTTATGCTTTAAGTTTATGGTGTATCATCACTATCAGGTAAAGTCTTTTCTATGATCGCAACTATGATCCTTAGCTCTGAATATCATTAATTGGCTACATATTAAACAAATGATTACTTGTGATAATATTTTTATGTTAAACGTGGTTTGAAAATTAACATTTAAAGTCCAATTTGAAGTCACCTCAACCACCAACACTATATGGCTGGGATATAGTTAAGTGACATATTGAAATACAGGGTGGTTTTCAGCAAAACGTAATAACGCTTGCTCTTATTTACTATCGCTGAAGCCTGCTGTGACAGTTCTTTGTACTGCGCATAGATCAACATTATTTTTTTTTATTAATGAGCAATTCATTGAATAAGACGCAAGACTCAACAAAGGAAAATTATAAAAGTTGAACATTTATAATAATTAAGCGTTTAATGGGTTTTAAGAAAGGTATGTCTAAAAAAGGAAAAGGTCTTCTAGCATTGGAGACTTGGAGATTTTTTGAAACAGATGTTTTTTAGCGAAATTCCCATATAGGGAATAAGCTATTACCGTAGTACTCATGGTAAGACCTGGACCCGGGACCGATTTTTTTTTTCGTTTTGAGGTCCCTAGAGGCCAAAAACACCATCCGTTCAAATTCATATATATATATATATATTTATATATATATTTATATATGTGTCCGTTAGCGCGATAACTTGAGCAAAAACGATCCGATTTTGATGAAAATTGGTACAAACGTGTAAATCTACGTTTATTCGAACGAGTTCGCGAACCAGCATGATCGGACCATGGGAACAGGGGTTTATGGGGGGTTTTATGGGGTAAAAATGGGTTTTTCCCATTTTTGACTCAAAATACATAAAATTTTGCAATTTCTTTCCAAACTATTTTGTAGAGCTTAAAAAACAAATAATTTAGTATATTGAAGCGTTATAATGCACCTAATGGTTACGGGGAAAATTCCAAAAAATTGTAAATTTAAAATTCCCATGTTATTCTTATGGAGAATAAGTAAACTGTTGTAGTTTGCTTGTTTATTAACATATTTTGATCAAATTTGGAAAATGTTTTTATTCCTTACTAACTATTAACATTTTACATTAAAAAACACTTTTACCCTCCCTGTTGCAGCAAACCTAAGTATGTGTTAAACTGATTCTATTTAAATAAGGAATGTGATATTTTTAAGGAGACATTTTAGTGTAAATCCAATCAGGCAAATGGAAATTCGCTTAGTCTGCAGGTTTGCTGCGGCGGGGGTATTTTACAGTTTACACAGTATAAGGGAACCTCTGTAGGCTACTATGTGTAGTCACTGCAGCAGATATATGCGAAACTTGTTCATTTGAAGGAATTTAACCCGCGTCATTCAAACGTTCTGGCTGTACAATAGTGGTATTATGGTGACAACCCTGTGATCCCTGTGATTTGTCATCTGTGTGGAGTCAAGTCGCCTTGAGGATGGCACTCTACATCGAAGCCGAAACGTCGGTGAGTGATTAGACAATTTTGACACGCTCGTCACCAGGCATGATTCTACAAAAAGTGATCATGGAAGCGTATACAGGGAAATGCACCTCGGTATAACCATACAACAACTATTTCTATACGTCAGACAGAATTCCATTGATTATTTTCTTATAATAGTGTCGTGTTATGGATCTTTGACCTATGTTTTTATAGCAATTTAGCTTAGATTTCTTTCATGGCAGACAATTAATTTAAAACTTGTTTTCCAAGAGTTTCTAAAATAAAGACATCCAATGAAGAAAAAGGACTTACTAAAAGGTGGAAACAAAATTCTGGAATTTTTTACCTACAATATTAAACAAAACGTATTCTTTGTGGTATTAGTATTATGTCAGTTAGAAAAAAACAGCGAGGTTGTAGGGAATCGTTTTAAACTGTTCCAGTCTATAAACTCCCTGGACGAGACCATGTTTTAATCAACAATGTGACACGCTGAAGAGACAGCTTAACTTTTTAAATTTAGCTCTGATGCAACAACAATTCTGAAGCTCTAAAATACTTTAGACCACATATTTTTAGCTTACTCGGCTAGCCTCAGAAAAGTTTGTATCCGTATGATAACGGTAATTTACTACAGTTTATATATTTTTTGTTTGAATTATATACTAAGATTATATATTGAGAAAGTTAATAAACATTGACACCGTGCTAGTTTTGAAAAATGTCGTATAATTAATTGGATAGCATATCAAAATTTGTAGGGATATTAATTTGAATCAACTAAAATCCCGATTAATAATGTTATTTTGTGATTAAAATTTTTTTGTTAGCTTTTTGTTTTGTAGTTGCCTTTAGTTCTTGAAGATTCCGTTTCATTTCATTTCGCCACGAAACCTTAAAAAATAGGTTTCAACGAATGTATCTGAAAAAATTCTTTTAATACACATTATTTAAGTGATTTATTTCAATTGATAAGCTTGAACTACAAATCTCGTTTTTTAAACCTGAACTTGGTTTCTTGTAGTCCTTCATTTCACTTTACGTCATCCTGAATGTAATCCAACTGGCTTTGGTGTCAGTATTACAATTTATAAGATATTTCATCTTAACGCTAGATAATTGTTTAATAAAACATTTTACTTTATAAGGACAGATATGAAAGAAACTATGTTATAAAACCCATATCACCCCAACTACATGTAGGTCTGTTTGTCCTTTAAACAGCGTAGTTAAGGTAGTTTTTTTGCGGTTTGGGCATCTTATCACCCCTTTCGCCTTTAACACTAAATAATATAGCTATAGTAGAAACAAAAAGATACTATATTGATAACATAATGTTCAAAATCTCTTTCAATTCATCAACTGTGAAAATTGAACACACTACATGAGTTTAATCAGTTGAAATATAATATGTTATTTACTGTTGGAATTCACTTCAATATTAGGTTGAATTCTATTTATGTTGGTAAAAGCTTAAATAACGTTAAAACAGAGAGCTATTACTTTCAACACCTTTATTTTCAATTGAACTCATAACAATAAGCATTTAAATCATAATTGAATCTTAGCAAGGAAAAGTACAAAGAATAAAATATATAACAGCTGTTAGCTGATTCAAACTATATCACTTGCTGTATATAATACCATTGACTATATAACTGACAACTTCTAACATCCTCCCACCAAGTTCATGGAACATTTACAAGTGAAATGAACTTCAATTAATTATTGATCAACAATTTGTGTTTAAAAGAGAAGTTAAGTTGCCTTGTTTCTTTCATTTGTTAGTAATGTTCTCAAGTTTAGTTTCTATATCTCTTCGGAACACATATGACTCTTCCTCGTCTGGTTTCTTTTGTGATTGACACAGGTTCTACATTTGACACATCTTCTTCAGGGGGTATTTCCCTTATTGTAGTCGATCTTGAGTTTTCCTCATTTGCAACTTGTCGAAGATGTTCCTGTGTAATATTATCTTCTTGTGAGTTGATTTCTAGTGGAAATATTCTTTGAACTGGTCTCATGAGTTCGCCATTTTGCGTACGAAGCCTCACAAGTCGAACATTTCCATCCTTTCCTTTGATTAATTCAACAACACGCGCCAATGGCCAATTTAATCTCTTTACTCCGTCACCTCCAATTAGAACAATTTCACCAACTTTCAATTCATAAGGTTTTTTCTTGTTGCCATGTAGTTGTAGTTGTCCCAAATATTCTGAGCGAAAACGTTCCCTGAGATTTTGCTTCAATTTTTGACGATATCTCAGTCGTTGATTGAGATCAGTTGCTTCTATTAAGTCGAGATCTGGTACTCCAACTTCTTCCACATCATGTAAGAATAAACTTGGTGTTAAAGGTGTCAAGTCTGAAGGATTCTCTGAGACATATGTTAATGGTCTCATATTCATAATTGCTTCACAATCGCAAAGTATGGTTTCCATTTCTTCTCGAGTGACGCAAGAATTTTCCAAAACTCTTCGTAACAGTTTCTTTAAAATGCCAATTAGTCTTTCCCACCAACCTCCCCACCAGGGTCCAGTAGGTGGTGAATGTTTCCACTGGATTTTCTTAGCAGTGCTATATCGCTCGATGGAACGCCAATCTAGATCTCTCAAAGTGTTGTTAGCTCCTGTAAAGTTTGTGCCTTGGTCACAGTAGATGATACTAGGACGTCCTCGTCGGCTGATGAATCGCCTTAGGCCCATGAGAAAGGTATCTGTTGATAAGGACGATAATAGTTCAAGGTGAACTGCCCTGTAGACGCCGCAGGTAAATATACACACCCATGCTTTGGAAGATCCTTTCTCAATCTTCAAATATAGTGGACCAGCCAGATCAACACCAGTCACTTCATACACTTTAGCACTTCGTACTCTGTCTTGTGGCAATGGGGTTGGTAGAGATTGAACATGTTTTGATGTGTGTCTTTTACAAATTACACATGTTTTCAAGACGGATTTTATACTTCGCCTTCCGCCAAGTATCCAAAATCGTTCTCTAATTATTGTCAAAATCATTTGACTACCAACGTGGCAGTTGTCTACGTGTATGTCCATGATTAAATTGAAAACGATTTGATTCTTAGAACTTGGTAAAACGATAGGATAACAAAAGTCATTTGTGTCCTCTCAATTGCTAACCTTTGTTTTCACTCTCAAAAGTCCTTTGCTGTCTTCATATGGAATCAAAGTCTTAAGTTTTTCATCTGTCACTCCTTCAAAGGATTCTGATTGAATAATTGATATCAATTTTTCTTCTGCCAATGTGTATTCTTCTAAAGTTAAGTCACAGTTTTTGATAGTCTTGTTCTTCATTAAAGTATTGTTTTTGAACCGATAAATCCATCCTATTGTTCTAACAGCTTTCTTGTATGTCGAACAATTCATGTACAACCACTCATTGTCTGTGACATTGTTAACAGCAGAAATAACAGTCCTTTTCTTTTCACTGTTAATATCATCCTCATTGTATGGAGTTTCTTCTTGATGAGGCCAATTTTCTGGAGATTCTGTAATCCAACTTGGGCCCTCCCACCATCTTGACTCAAGTAGTTTCTGAGCAGAGCATCCTCTTGAGGGAAGATCAGCTGGATTCTTGTTACCGGGAACAAATCTCCATTCATGCTGTGAAGTTAATCTCCTGATTTCTGACACTCGGTTGTTGACGAATACATTCCAATTATCTTCCCGTTTAATCCATGCTAAAACTGTTGTTGCGTCAGTCCAGAAATATGTTACTACATCATGTAACTTGTAGTCATCAACGATGGTCGAATACAACCTAGCAGATATAGAAGCCGCTAACAATTCAAGTCTAGGAATTGTCATCTTCTTAGACGATTTGGTAACTGGTGCTACCCTAGATTTTGCTGCAACTAGTTGTACCCTGACATAATCTTCCAACTCAATACGCAAAAAAGCGACTGAAGCGTATGAATTCTGGCTGGCGTCTGAAAATATGTGGAGTGTCCAATTTGTCATGGTGTTTGTACCAGGTAACCATCTAGGTATCTTGATTTCACTGAGGAAGTGGATGTCTTTTAACCATTCCATGAAACCATCTTTTGTCTTTGGATCAACTTCTTCATCCCAACTTGTGCCTTTTTCCCATGTGTGTTGAAGTAGTAACTTTGGTATCAAGGTAACACAGCATGTAAAGCCGATTGGGTCAAAGATGCGATGTGCCGTACTCAAAATAATTCTCTTTGTGATCTTTTCAATGTCAATATCTTGTAGGCTGGCAATATTAACTTCTAGTGTATCTGATTCTCTATCCCAGACCAGACCTAGAACGTTTGATTTTTGTTGAGACGATGAAAATGAGTTATTGTCAACAGTCAGCTCCCACCCTCGAAGTTCAAACTTTCTCTCGTACATAATCTTAGTTGCTACTTCAACAAACTGCTGCGCTTCTTCCCAGTTGTCTACGCTGCACACACAGTTGTCAACATAAAAGCTGGAAGCTAGGGTTTCAACTAACTTCAAAGGCCAGTTGCGTTTGCCTTGCTTAGTTTCCAGTAGTATTTCTTCCATTAGTAGTCTGATTGAAGCTTCCAATAAAAAAGGGCTCGAGGAAACTCCAAAAACAACTCGACAATGTCTGTAAACTATAAGTTGTCCTTCCTTCGTAGTCCACAAGAATCGCAAAAAGTCTCTGTCGGCTTGGTTCAAAGCAATTTGTAAAAATGCCTTGCGAATATCAGCTATTACACCAATTTTCTTCAGTCGAAATCGAGCCATTACTGAAGGAATTTTCTCGATAAGATTGGGTCCTTTTTCCAAACACTGATTTAAAGAAGGACCTTTATGTTCATGCGCACTGGCATCGAACACAGGACGAATCGGCGTAGTAATGCCAACTTTTAAGACAGGGTGATGTGGTAGATAATGAGCAGGTCGGTGCATTTCTTCAGCTGGAACTTCTTCTATAATCTTTTCATTCAACCACCCATCAAATACTTCTTGGTATTTGTCGTATAGGTCTTCTTTCTTAAGTTTTTTCACTGTTGAAGATAGTCTTTTCTTAGCCAAGTCATAGTTGTCTGATAGCGGAGAGTGATCTGCCATCCAAGGGAGACGAACTTCAAAACGTCCTTCTTTGGTGATTTTTACTGTTTCAAGAAAGGTTTTCTGAGTTTCGGCTTCTAATTCCTGTCTTGAACATTTCTCGTAAGGATCTAGAATTCCTAAGGTATCTAAAGTCCAAAGGTCACTAATTTTACCTGTAGTCAGCATAGAAGTTACTAAACTCGTTGCATCTTGCTTGCTACGCTGCTTGTTTGGGATTTTCCCCATCAATGTCCATCCGAGCTTTGTTTCAACTGCAACCAATTTACAGTCTAGAGCCTTGTGACCACCTGTCCATAAGTTTCCTGCTACATCTGCTCCTATTAGTACATCTATAGGACCATAAGAGTCAATGTCACTGAAGGTGATGTTCTGCAAGGCTAGCTCTTCGATCCAGGGTCCTCGTACGACTGGTGAGATGTTTCCGCAGATCTTCTTCTGGTCTAGAACTTCGAAGTGGCATCTATACTTGTCATCTAATGAAGAAAGATGTAGTACATACACATTATGATGAATTACTCCTGTACTGTTGCCCCCAAAAAGAGAATGTTGAATCTTTTCATTTTTGGTGGAAACATAACCTACTTTGGCTGCTAAGCTGGATGAAATATATGATCTTTGGGATGCAGAATCAATCAGAGCTCTTGCACAGTAAATACCTTTGGGTCCCGTTACATTGACACGTAAAGTTTGCATCAACACATTACAGGTATTTAAGTTTGCAAGTGTTTCGTCTCTTTTAGGTTGAACACTGACATTTTCATGTTCCGTTAACTCTCTACTAGGATTTGATTCATTAGACTGCTTTTTAATTTGATCAATCTCATCACACATGATGACAAAGTGAGACTTTTTACAAACTATACACTTAGGCTTAGTCCTACATTTGTTTGCAGTATGTCCAGGTTTTAAGCAACAAAAACATGCTTTCTTACTATTTACAGATGCTTTTCTTTCTGACAAAGGCATTGATTGGGCTTTGATACAATCTTGACTTTTGTGAGAAAATGTACAAAATATACAACCTTGGCTATTTGATTTGTCACATTTTTCAGAAGTAAATAGCCCTGTAGCAGTAGCTGTATTAGGCCAACTTGATTTATTTACAAAGGGAGGAGTTGCCTTACTTTGCCTACTGTCATTCTTTTCTTTACTTGGGGTCGATGAGAAACCAAAACCAGACATTGCTAACTTGACCTTTTGCTCCCCTTCAATTTCCCCTTTTAGAAAATTAAGAAGATTTTCTAACAAGTCTTTAGACGTATTTTTCTCGTCCTTATGCCTACTGAATGTATTAGAACTAGATCTCTCCCACAATTTCAAAACATCTTCTGGCAAACAAGATGAAACTAGAGGTAAGAGGATAGGTGCACACGTGTCTGAGGACACCCCTAGTGTTTCTAGGTTTCTTAGATGACACTGCAGTTTGTCATATAATTCAGAAATGGAAAGCTTCTTGGTTGACGAAGCATGGTAAACTACAATTTTCAACATTTCCCTAATGTAATATTCAGTTAGCAAGTCATCCTGACCAAAACGACCTTTGAGACTCTTAATTACTTCGGGATACATTTCTCCAGTGGCTGGGTAACTTTCAACCACTTCTCTGGCTGCAGAGTTTGGAATTGTTGCCATAACTAAATACTGGATTTTGTCATTAGGGTTTATTGATTCATCAGAATCTATTTTAGAAAACTGAGCCCAAAATGGTAACCAATCTTTAAGATCGCCCCCAAACTCTTTGAATTTGATCAAGGGAAGCTTGTATCCACTGTTGTTATGCATAGGGTAACCTAGGCCTACCTGAATTGATGAAGGCTGTGATTGACCACTTACAGAAACCTTATCTTCCTCCAGGCTTATCTGTAGGAGTTTCTCTACAGATTTCTTAGCTAGTTGAAAAGCTAATGCATAGTCCTTTTGGCTTTCCATCTCCTTGTCCATGTCATTGTCATTTACTTCAGTTGACAACATGAGTTCAAACACTTCTGAGTCATGTTTTGCTATGGATTCATATTGAGTAGCTAAAACATTTATTAAAGCTTCAATCTTAGTTAAATCCCGATCTTCACTACTAATCAAACCTTCAAGTTCTGTCCTTGTTTTAGTGAAGGTTCTTCTGATGACTCCTCTACTTCGATTTAGTTTTGATATATCCATCTTTGCACTGGTTTTAGTCCTGTCACGGTCGCCAATAATGTTGGAATTCACTTCAATATTAGGTTGAATTCTATTTATGTTGGTAAAAGCTTAAATAACGTTAAAACAGAGAGCTATTACTTTCAACACCTTTATTTTCAATTGAACTCATAACAATAAGCATTTAAATCATAATTGAATCTTAGCAAGGAAAAGTACAAAGAATAAAATATATAACAGCTGTTAGCTGATTCAAACTATATCACTTGCTGTATATAATACCATTGACTATATAACTGACAACTTCTAACATTTACTATAATGTTAATTTATTAACGCCAGGCTATCTAAAATTTAACTATATTGAACCCTACAGCAAACTACTAACATAGAATACTTAAAAATAACATTTAATTAAACACAGTTAAGCTTTACTCAATGTCAAAATTACCTCTTAGCCTACAAATTGATGGAAATAGGTGTATAATTGTTTAACAAAGTTTAATGAAACCAGATTATAGACTTACGTGTGTTTGCATGCGCGCACGTGTCACAAATACGTTATGAGAATTTGAACAAATATTTATTAACAGATAATGCTTGGTTTCTATGAAGAGATTGCGAAACATATTTACCCGGCTTGGACTATTTGCAAAGTATTCAAGCAAATAAACATACAGTACTTTTTATTACGGTAACGTATGAAATATTTGATCAGTGTTGCATAACAGAACTGATTATGTAAATAAAGTCGATTTTTTTTACTACCCTTCCATAAACCATGTATTTATCTAGGAATTATTACGAAATAAAATAATTAGCTTGAAAGCCCCTGCAACAAATAAGTTTCATATAACACTGTAATCGGTGTTTTGGGATAAAATGCAACATGAAGACAAATACACAGTTAAATATTATATTTTAAAATACAGTTTGATATTGCTGTAAGATGGATTTATCACACGTTGTAACATGTGTGACCTTTGCTCTATAATACTTGTTTTACAACAATAACTAGTATAACTTACGTATACCTCAATAACACTCTAATAACGTCTAGTAATATTGTTAAGAGTTTTAATCCTTCATTTTATGTTGTTTGTTGTTGTTCCGGATCAGTTGACAATCAAATAAAAGTTTAAATTACCTGTGTCCGCCGGTCGATGGAATATAATACTTCAGGATCGACCGGCCGGCACAGGTAATTTAAACTTTTATCGAGTTTTGTGTAATTTATTTATTTACCTACGACCATTTTTTAAGCAGCCGTTTCAGTTCAGTTCTTAAAATTGAAAAGTTTCACAGAACAGCATTGTTTACTTACATAACATAGTTTTACTTAACAACATAGGTAACGGACCAATGAGGTTCAGGGATTAAGAGAGGAGAAGTAAAATTGTAATGCTTTTAACGTCAACTAATCAGCTGTTTAAGACAAATTTAATTGATAATGAATGGCACATTAGTGTTTTGTACAATGATTCGTTGCATCACTGTCAGTGACAATGAGAGGTTATAAACGAAAACATAGCCTCTTAGAAGTTATGAGTAGTGAAGATTAGTAATTAAAAAACTGTCGTAGGTAAAGTAGTGTAAACTCGCGTAAATAGTCTTAACGACACTCGTAGAAGTTTTTAAGGCACTCACCAAGGCTCGACCTTAAATTTTCAACCTGTGTCGTTAACGCTATCTTCAAGGTCGATTCACATATCAGTTACGGCACGTCACAGGTCAGTCACATCTATCACGTCACCGTCAACCAAAATATTCTTTAATGGATTTTCTATTGAGTAATCTACACTCATCCGGCGTAGGTCTGTCAGTCGCTTTGTCGGCGTCCGTCAGTCAATTTCAAATTTTTTCCACCGATATATTTTTATTGACGTGTTTAAGGTTAGAAAATAGTGTTTTTTTTTTCATTTAAATGGTTGCGTTTGTATTTTAAGTACTATTTGTATCAATATACAAAATGGACGATGTAAATTTGATAGAAATTTGTATTTTATATTAAAAAATCACTGTATAAAAAGTAACAGAAGACTGTCTGAAATCAAATGGCTGACAGTTTGACTGAGGAATTACGGATGCAACTGAGACTGAACTGTGACTGGACAGATGTGTGAATCAACCTTCACGCGATCGTTGCGTAAACTACTTTTGTAGCTTGAATTGTGCAGGTGTTATTTATTTAATGATTATAACAAAATAAATACTTTACTAAGATAAAATGAGTAAAGTTCCACTAAGTAAGGTTCACTAAGTAAGGTAATTGATAGGAGTAGGTCGCAGTTTTATTGTTACTTTGTATATGTCACGACTTTGCAGGAAAGGTTTACAATCGCCCTGTTACGACCAGACTGAGTATTGTGAGCCAAACACTAAACATTACAGTTAGCGTTAGTGTTAATGGTGGCCTGTTTGTGTGGTGGATGTACCATGACTTTGCTTCTTCTCACAGTAGTAGAACACTTGTAGTAAAAATGAAATTACTCAAATGTCAGGATAACCAATGTCCTTCATCTTTTTCATATGGTTTGGTTCTTTATTTACTATAAAATACTTCAGTCATAGGCCTATATAGTTTTAGTTCCATTACCCTTTCGTTGGATAAAACTAATATTTTGTGTTATAGGATTCAAACCTCTAATCGGTTAACATGCGTACTTTAAGTCCTTAATGTTAAACACTATAATACAGTAGATTTATAGGTTTAGGAACAATTAATTAGAACAATGAAATCTGTACATTGTTATAGCAACGGATGTTTCAGCATATATTTTCAAATAAGATGAAAATACCGTTCAGTATGCCGATTCTGATCTTATTTACTTTCAATAGTGATTCCCCACAACAATCGATTCACCATACGTATCGTATATTCATACGATACGTATCGTATCGTATATTCATAAAGTTCATAAACTCTTATAAGCGCTAAAGTAAACAGACAAACCCCGTAATCCAATCCATGACCTCTTTAAAAAATCTACAAGAGTAGGCATAATACTGCTCTTTGATAAACTTCTACCAAAGCTTCACATACTCCTGTAAATAGGAAAACATCGTGATCATGTTCTGCGATCGTGATTTTTACTTGGCACGTCGACGCATACTATCAAAAATCTAAATTTTCTCAAATTGTATCACAATGTGTTATGTGATAAGCACTGGATCCCCTTGGTCATGGGAGTGCTTACGCCATGAGCAACTGCCCTTTAATCACTGCTAGCAAAGGAACACAGACCACTTTACGATATCTTCTCATTACCATTTGTGTCTCCATTAAATTGTTCATTAAAAGTATCCACATAATATGGATTTGTGTGTTGTGGATTGTATGCTTAAAAGTGCCTTACCATCTCAAGGAGTCGAATTGAATTAAGTTGAAATGTATTTTTTTCTCTGAAATACCTAAAAAAAGCGAAATAATAAAATTACTCTGCCACAAGTATAATGTAAATAAAAACGTTCTACGTTCTATATCCCTAACACACATCTATCTTTTAACGCTTCAATGATCGATTCAAATGCTCATAACGCGATGCAGATTCAATGTAATGTGTTTGAGGTATAGATGAGTTCATTGTTTAGTAAAATGTTTATTTACTCCATTTTAACTGTACTCAGCCTCTGGAACATTGATTTGGTCAATTTATAACACTGGATCATTTAATAATTTCGTTGTTATAATTTTCGCGTTTATCTAACTTTAATACTAGGTCTAATATTACTGAGACTAACAACACTAAAAGAGTGTGTAGGGCCTAAAGTTTACAAATAAAGGTTTGGTATTTATGTATATTCATTAAGTTATGATCAGTTAACAACCTATATAAATTTTATCTGTGTAACATAAAACAAAAGAAGGTTTTAAAAAAAGCCAAAAGAATAACCAATGGTTGACCCGTATTCTTAATTGGGCTCACACTCATTCAATAGAGGACGTTCTTTTGTTTTAATTCTTGCAGAATTTTAATATTTTATTAGAACACCAACACCCAATACGGTGTTTTTAATTTGAAATTTTACTTTCAAATTTTACCTTAAGCTTTAATATAACTTTTATTCGATTAATTACCTGAAATAATAATAATCGTTGTCATTTTATTGAAGGAGTTGAATATGTGTAGAAAAAACCAATTAGAATTTTTTGAAATATGCTCATTCGAAGATGAAAGTTCCGAGAACGACATAACGAAGTAGCATTAGTTAAATGCCTCAAAGGGAGCGACAGATTCTGTTATCTCGTGTTTTACTTAACATGCTTTGAAGCTGGGATCGTTAGTTGGATGTTCACTGTGCTTATCAAAAATTAGTTGAATAGCTGTAGATTTCTACAGCAACAGTTTACTTTTATGTATGTTTAAAATTAAAATGCATAAATTTATGATTATAATAACCAACAGCTGCTTATACACTTGCCAAACATTAGCAGTAATGTTTTCTCATAGTAAAACAGAACAAATATATTGTTAAAATGTATTAATTTTTAAAATCATGATTTAACTTTGATTAGATTAGTGGATATTAGAATTATTTAATCTACACAGTTTAAAAATACATTGATGTTTCATATTGCATATATACATCCATCCGCTAGTCACAGATGTATAGATGTATAGATTATTATTACGTATAGATATACAATGTATTGTGTAAAGCAAGCATTTGTTACTACTGTACACCCTATGTATGAACCAATTGGTCTACAGAATAAAATAATTTATATTATAGCTTTTGTAAGACTTGTGTTTCTCAGGCCTTTTAATTTGAGGGTCATGTGGTCATGGGAAATAATTAACTACTCCCAAATCAATATAGATGTAGCTTTATAT